GGTTCATCATGGCTGAAAGCTGGTCGTCCAGTCCCAGTCAGTCCCAGTCCAAACCTATGATGCGAAGCCTTGCGTGCATCAGAAGCAAGTTGACCAGTGAGTGTGGTTTGTTTGCTGCGCGCACGTGTTTACTTGTTAACACGCGTGTAAAGATATATATCTATGTGTGGATGTGATGTAGCGGGCACACCGCTGAACGCATGACCATGTAAATATAGACAAGAAAAGTATCTACTTCGAGTAAAGACATGTCCTGAAGCGGAAGACACCGCTAAACAAGTTTCCGCGTCTTGGCGTAGCTGCCTTTTTTCATGTGTCCCAAAGATGTGAGCGGTATACTGCTTGCGCTGAACTTGCGCTCTGGACACTAGCGCAAACATGTCATGTACTGACCGTCCTGCGAGAAGCTATACCAAGCAGGGGCAACTGGAGGCCGTGTCTGCGATACCTTGGTGATGACCGTGTCGGCAGCGCGTCTCCATCGCGTGCCCCAAGGTTGCTCGTCCACCTTGTGTGCGGCGGTAGCCGCAGCGGTAAAGATATGACAACAGCAAAAAACACCGCCAAAAGAAGTGAGTATAGTAAAATAATCCAAGTCGCAAGCTGAAAATTGTCGCGCCGAACGTAGATACCCTAGGTAGGATGCCAGAACCAATCGCGAATGATGCCGCCAACGTGGTCGTTGAACACAAGCATGTCTCCACTCGAGAGGCGTTGGCCGATGAGACAGCAGCCTGATAACGGCAAACAGTGCAATGGTACTATGACTTGAGCGGACACGGTGGTACATGAAAAAAATCCAAAAACAATTTTGGTAAAGGTAACACATGAACAGCCTGAAGTGTCACAACTGGTATCGCCCAGTGGCTCTTGCTGGTCTGCAGCTCGGTCGTGACAAAGTACAGTTTGTCCTCAAGGCTTGCCTCTTCTATGTGACCCACAAGTTGCCAATGTGGCACGCCGTGCTTGTTGAGTTGGAGCAAGGTGTCTTGGAGCAGCCTGGGTAGCACCGACCGAGAAAAGGCAGAGTGGTTCTGCGCCAAAGAGTCCTGGCGGTCCGCTACGCCACTCTTATAGAGGCGATGTTTGTCCTCCACAGGCTCGCAGTCCACGAAGCAACCAGTCCTGAGAAGCTGAGCCGGCAAATGTAGCCTCATGTGGTGCTTTGGTTTGTGGTCTACATCGTAGACCGCAAACATATCATGATGACGTCGCTGCAGTTCGTCCAAGCGAGCCATGGACTTCTCGTTGATGAGGACACCGCCAAATTTCAGTTGACGAAGGAAGGAAGCGATGCCACACAAGGTTCTGAAGAAGGCCACGTAGCGAGCTGGAACCAGGCCACTGGGCTCAATCGCCGTCAAGGTGAAGTAAAACAACAGGGGCAACAAAGCTGTAGTCTGATGCCTTTGGCCCTTGAACAAACCATCACCGTACAGGCGCTCGTGGAACAAGTTCTTGAGGTAGGTCCTGGTGCGGCCCGTCGACTTTGCAGAGACCCAGTTGCCAGCCAAGACAACATCTTGCAGAGCACTCAATTTGAGCGGCGTGTGGTCAAAAACTATTTGCAAGAACAAGGCGATCTCCCAGCTACAGATGCCGTTCACGAAGTAAAGGTGCATGGCGTCTCCGATGATCCTGCTTGGGGCCATCTTGACTCTTGTAGCTGGGTTCCACAACAGAGATGCTGGATTGTAGGATAACCCACTACACTTTTCCTGAGCTTCAAGGTCCGCCTTGCTGACAGCAGCCCGCAGACGCTCACACATCTGAAAGATATCACATCTGATGAGGGCAGGAAACCAGAGCTAGCGGACACCTCCTTGAAGTAGCTGTCCGAACTGGCCACATAACCAGACTTGACGCAATTGAGGCAAAGGACACATGGACGCATATACCAGCTGACCCCTTGAAGCTATAGATGCTTCGGACAGCCTCCAAGTCACCTATGAAAAAAGCTTGCGCTCTCTGTTTGAAGACAGCGCCCCCTGACAGAGCAAAGCCTGTTTCATTCTCTTCAGTGAGTACCTTGTCGAGGATCTTGATCATGATGGAGCTGTGGCCACCCTGCAGCTGCGCTAAGCAATAGCTTTGCACTGTTGCTAATGGGATCCAGCAGTTTGCATTTTTGATCAGATGTCCCAGCTCTAACCAGCTGATGTAGTATAGATTGGCTTTGCGGGATTTGTTCACTCCCAGAACATTACCCGCTTGGGCCTCATCGCAAAAAATGATTGGAGTAAGAGGTCCTTTCTCCAACGCCTTCTCGATGGCATGCCTGAAGTCAACTGACTTCTGACACAGATGCTGGAGGCACGGCTTCAAATCCACCACTGGCAAAGCAACAGTGGATCCATCATGGCGAAGAAAAGGTTCATCTTGCATGGCGTCAATCCATGGCTTCAGTTCTGCAGCGACCAGGCGTTCAGCTCGCCCACGACTAATCTGCTTCTCATCTGATTGAATGATGTTCCAGATCTCAGCAGCGGCTCGCTCGCTCGCTCCTCTAACAGAGACAGCTCTGCGAAATTTGCGCTCATCTAGCAGAGGTAGGCGCCGTTTATTACGGCCAGGACCACGCGTCATCTGTTGCTCCTCAGGCCCATAGAGTTCCAGCAGCTTTGCTGTGGAGTCCATGGAGCTGTCATTGGTCATGAAGCCTCTATAAGAAAACCGTTCTGTTCTGCGGAACTTAAGCATCCAACATCGCGCTTCAACATCCATGACGAGTCAGTGCCCCAAAAAAACCAAAAAGCGGAGACACCGCTATAGGGTTTAGTGTTTAAAATACACATTGCGACCACGCGACAAAACACCACCAGAAAGGCTTTTCCCCCCAGCGAGCAGCTGCGTGTAAGCACGCACATGAATTGGCACTGTTGGAGTGGAGAGACCATCAGTATAGGAAAACTAAGATTTAAAGACATCACTTGCCCTTTGGCTTGCTCGCCTTCTTGGGCTTTGGCTCCTTGAGAGCCTTTGCCTCGGCTGCTTTCTCTGCAAAAACCTTTCGAGCATCCTTCAGAAGCATCTGAGCAGCCTTGACTGTATCCTGGATGGCAGATGCCTCTCCCAAAGCCGGTGGATCGCTTTGAGCTCGCGCCGCTTCATCAGTTCCGATGATCGCAGTGGCACCTTAGAGACATAATGGGACACATCTGAGTTACATTCAGAGACAAGCAATATAGTATGACATGTGTTTAAGTTACAACAATGTATAAAGTATGTTTATGTATCGATTATCAAAAGTATAGCGGTCACACCGCTGAAGCATGTTTCCTCCTGACAAGACGAGTGGCTCAGCTTGAGAGTCCTGATCTTGCCTTCGGCCTCCTGGAGATCTTTCTTCATCTCCACAGAGAGCACGTTAGCATTCTTTGCACTCTTGTCCATGACGCCCTTCAAGGAAACGTAGCAACTGTTCAGGTTGGCGATCGACTTGCTGGCCTTGGCAGTCTCTTTGCGCCAAGCCAAGGACCTCTGTCGCTCAGCCTTGCGGGCAGCTGTCGCGGCATCCTTCTCAGCGCTGTTCTTTGGAACTTTGTTTGCTCGACCCGCAGGGCGAACTCGTTCATCCTCACTAGGAATGGACCACACATCATCATCGATTTCAATTGCCTTGGGGGCGAGGGCATCAGGAACTGGAGCGGCCTTGGACTTCGGGATCTTCTTCTTGGCCTTCAGCTGGTATTCCTTCTCGGCGACCTCCTGCTCCATCGTGCCACGGATTTCCTGATCATCGATGACGCACAATGGCGCTGTCCAAGTTTCGCCAAAGACCTGGGTTGATAATCCAACTAAAGTGGCTTCGATGAAGACTGTTTAGCTATACGACAAAGGTCTTTACTCCAGAACTCAAAGATCTGCAGCGGGCACACCGCTAAATATATTACAGTTACAAAATAATTTACAGATGAAATTACAACGCGTACAAAAGCAGAGCAGCAGTCGATGAAAGGACAAGTAACCGCATCAGTTTGCTTTTGGCCGTGTTGTTTGATCTTCTCAACATCGAAGCCGCGAGTCGCCCAGACACTCAGCGGAAGAAATTCCCTGCGAACCGTCGTTTTCACCTGATTGGTCTTGAAGCGGGTCATCGAAGCAATGAGATTGCTTTTGACCAACGCCCACCGCCCGTTCTTTGGGCATGTCTTGACCATGTCTGAGCTGGCCTTGAAGAAGCTCATTTGTTCCTCCGCAGTCATTGACTGCAGCGTGCTCGGAAGACCTCCAAGATGCCGGTAGAGCATCTGGTAGATGTTCGTGCAGTCACGACATTGCACACCGTAACCGCGCATGACTCCATCGGTCACATCTGTGGTTTGGCCACACTTGACACAGCTCTGTGAGCCGCCATCCTCAGCCGGGAGTACCTGCGTCTGCGAGGTTGGCACAGTCAGTGCCTCAGGGCTCTCCGCCGCCATGTGGTCTTGGTGGGGAATGCCACTAAGCGAACAGCCTGGCTATAGCCTCTGGTTCACGCAAGAAGTGAAAGACAAATTTGGAACAAAGTGGATGCAAAATCAATATAGACATGGAGAATATACGACGAAAAGTTGAAAGATATTCTGAAGATGTTCAATAGATATTCTATAGATATTCTATCGATAGCATAGATATACCATAGATAGCATAGATATTCCATAGATAGCACAAAGATTTTTTGAGTATGGAATTCATGAAATATTTTGTCGATAGCATAGATATTCCATAGATAGCATAGATATTCCATAGATAGCATAGATAGCAGATCGATAGCATAGATAGCACATCGATAGCAAATAGATATTCAATCGATAGCATAGGTACTCTTGAGCTAGAAGAGCGGTCACACCGCTAAGCAACCCATGACTTAAGTACAGAGTACAGCGGGCACACCGCTATCAAACAATTCAAAATCAAAACGCAAATATACAAATCTTTTTTCTCCAACTCTCCCGTGTCATGCGACTCAGGTGCGACCCGCAGGGCGCTTCAGTCCGCTGGCAGGCTTCTTCAGAACTTGGCTCTTCCGCTTCATCGGTAATGTCTTCATCGGTAATGTATGTGGTTCCGATCGCACCCTCCGCCTGTCCGAAAAAATACTTTCGCGAAACCATGAGGAACAAGTTCTTGATCAGTAGCGGACACACCGCTGCTGTGCCAAAAAAAGATGCTGGAGCTATACTTACCGCTGACAGGTAAAGGAAAAATGGCAGACACTTGTTGGAAAGGGTTGGCTTTCAAATAGGAAGACGGACTCACCGCTGACATGAGCCAGGAGACTTTGATGTTCCTGTCGTATCGTCCACTTCATCTGAGGTGGCAATCTGCTCGAGCTCCAAAGCCGCATGTCCAAAGATGTGTTCCAAGGTCTGTTTGCGTAGCTCTGGGTCCAAGTGCTTCTTGTTCACAATGCATAGGACTTGGCAACATCCCAAGCGCATGCGGTCAGCCTCCTCTTGCATCCTATCACATAGCCCAACGAAAGCGTCCAATGCCTGGCCACACAGACAGTCCTATCCGCTGTAGAAAGAAACGCTATATGAATAGAGTCATTTCTATGTTGGTATACAGGTTTTGGTTGTACTGCAGCCTTCCAGAAAGTGGCGCGGGGCCCCCATCGGCCAGGGACGGTGCACACGAACTCGCCCGACATTGCAGAAGTGACTCGCAAGCTCAGCTTGACCTTGTCCCACTCAAATTTGAACAGCAATTGCCCGTCCTGAGGCGATGTGGGCCGCACCAGCACAGCATGATTGCGGCTGTAGTTCAAGTACCTTAGCAGTTTCCATGTCCGCGTATCAAGAAACCAACAAGCCAAGATACTATATATATCTATATTTCTCTCTCTCTCTCTCTCTTTGTGTCTTCCATCTATGCATACAGTCAGGCTACACGTGCCAGTTCGGCTGATGTTCCATGTTTGGGTGGGTCTGCAGGTCGTACTTGTATAGCATATCTCCTAAGTACATGACCTTGTCCACGCACCTGTGTCTCATCTCTTGAGTGGGAGGCAAAGCCCTGAACTCGGCGTTCAGAGCCCATTGCGTCCAAAGATCAGGGCTGGTAAGAGCGTCCACCGAGGACCACGAAATGGTCGCATACTCAAAGCGCGCAGGGGCCATGATATCGGGAAAAGGTCTTGCAAGTCAGGATGGCCCTCTATACGTCGTCGCATGTCTGGAAGCCATGGGAACGAATTCCATCAGAATGTCACGAACAACAGCTTGGCACCGCTAAGCACATGCATAGCATATCAAAGGCAAACGGAAGGGTAGTGCACAGAAAGGGTTTTGCAAAAACCTATTCTACTAACGTCGTGGAAGGCGCGTGACCTTCGTAGAACCCAAGGCTGTTCGTGGACAGTTCGTGGAATGGTGGGCCAGTAGGAGAACTGACTGCAACGAAATCCCAGAAACCTTCGCAGAACTTCGTGGAAGGTATTTTTGATGCACTAACTTCGTATAAGCGATTTTTGCTGACCCCCTTTCTCCACACACCCTCCGTTTAGCCTTCAGCATATCATGCTCATATATGTACTTTATATACATGTAGCGGATCACACCGCTGGTCTGATATATCAACAAATCTTCAGGAAGCAGAGCACTGCTAGACATTTTGAACCGGCTTCGATCGTCCTTGAGACGTGCAGGCCGTATACTCACTACGCGCCAAAAACCTCCTTCACAGCACGCTTTCCAGCCGCTCGTGCCCTCTGCAATCTCGCTTCATAGGCCAAACCCTTGAACTTACCTTGGGGAAGCTGTGTACCCAAAAGCATAGGTACTCTCCATGATGCGTACAGCACACCAACATATACTTTTAAAACCAGGTCCATGAGAAGTATGTATGCGACTATTTGTATATGGAT